CCCCTCTCTTTTGTTTGTTGATTGTTTATTGGTGATTGACTTTACTATTCATTCGGTTTTGTGAATTGGTCGGTGATTTGCAAAGTTATTACATTTGTATGTCGGATTGTGGATAATTATGAGCTGCGTGATCATGTTTGGTTCCTGTAATCACTAGAATCAGCTAGGTCTGTGTTGGTGATTAGTAGGTATATAATTAGAGACTCCATGGATTGGTTGTGTCGTTATATTGCAAAAGAGTTTATTTTTATTTGGTCTTCTGTGTTTCAAAAAAAGAAAAAAAAATTTAGTCTTCTACTTAAACTTGTTTCTTTGTGACAATTCCATTGTGAATTTTGGATTGTGGAATTCACTTAATTCAAAAGACAGTCCTGGTTGGTATTTCCATCTCTATTGTTGATTATTTTTTTCACCTTTGCTTGGAATTTTTGACTATTTTAACTTGTTTTAGCGTTACTTTGATGGTTTGTGTAGTTTCTAGAGGGCTAAGTGTGCTTTGTCTAGTCATTGTAGCGTTGAGTCTGCTGAGACTTGGGACTGTTTGATGAGTGCCGTGATTCTAATTGCCGTAATAAAAAACAGTTGGCGTTGAACTGTTGGAAGGGGAGTGGAAGGGCGTTTTGTGCTGGTGGTGATATTGTGTCTATCTACCATTTAAGAAAGAGAGGTATTTTGAATATTCCAGTTTACATTCTCATGTTTTGATTTGTGGGAAGAAGCTAGATAGGATTGGAGAATGAGTTTTTAATTATTTATAATGATTAGATTTTATGGGAAAAGTGTATGGTTTAGTGAACAAATCGTGCTATTAAGTTAACAACCACGCCAACTGTTTTTTATTCTTTGAACTTTTCATTTTTGTAAGCTCTCTTGGATGGATGATTTAATAGAGTATATATGCAGGGGAGTATCTGGGTCTGACTAGCTTGAAGCTCAGTGGCGCGGAAATGTTGGCATGTGGGCTTGTGACACATTATATTAGTAGTGCGGTAACATCAATTACATTAATCTGCTTTTTTCTGTTTTCATCAAACTTATCGTGATGATGAAGGTGATTTGTGAATGGCATTGTTGTAGCTTCGTCTTCTTCTTTGTGTTTATGGGAACTGATTGTGTTTAGAAGTGTCCTTGAAAGCTCCGAACTCTTAACTCTTTCTCTTTGAACTGTTGAAGGGGAGTGGAAGGGCGTTTTGTGCTGGTGGTGATATTGTGTCTATCAGTTTAAGAAAGAGAGGTTACTTGAATATTCCAGTTTACATTCTCATGTTTAAGAAAGAGAGGTTACTTGAATATTCCAGTTTACATTAATCAGTTTTTTTATGGTTTCATTAAACTTATCTTACGTACTAGGTAGTAATGGTTCCTACTCCAACAACAGGAGGTTCCTGTATTGGAAGCACAGCTCAAGAAGCTCCTCACTGATGATCCTTCTGTTGTTGAAACAACCTTAGAAAGATGTGCAGAAGCTGCTCATCCAGAAAAGACTGGTGTTATTCGCAGGTTTGTTTTCCTGAATTCGAGAGACATAAAACTCCTGCCTTGTATTCTCATATCAGCTTCTAAGTTTGCTTTATTCCCTTTTTTGTAGGATAGAGTTACTTGAAAAATGCTTCTGTCATGACACAGTGGAAGAAATGATTGATTCTTTGGTAAGTATGTTTACAAATGATATTAATAATTTGTATTTTTATATTTAATCATATTTTAAATAATTATTGTATTTTTATATTTAATCATGTTTTAAATAAGAGATAATTGACCCAATATACCAACTTGGGTCGAAAATTTGGAAAGTACCCAAATCAGAAAAAAACCCACCAACACTATTCATATTTGTGTGCCTTCTGCCGTTTTTGCCCCTATGAAGATTACACGTGACAAGGAAAAATAGAACTTTTGGCTTTCGTGAGATCTCCGAAGTACAGTGAATCGGCGTGATATCTCCAAGTACAAACTTAGGTTGCTGTTCAAGGGTAGGTCTCCAGCTGCCTCCTCCCCAGCTGAATTTAGCTACCTCTATCACTACCACTAAATTTCTGCATATGCCCTATCGCAAAGTGTGTATTGAACAGCCAAGTCCAGCCCAGCTTTTTGCGATTATGTTAACAACCTTTGAAGCAACTCATAAGTACGTTAACGGTTAATATAAATTTTAACGGATATATGAATTTTTAACAGGTCTCGACTAAAGTAGAGAGTAATGATACATCTTAGTAGATCTGTAATCATTTTGAATAAACACCTTTGTGATTATGTAACAAACTTTGAAGCAACTCATAAGTATGTTAACGGTTAACATAATTTCTAACATATATTTTAACAAGTCTCGACAAAAGTAGAGAGTAATGATACATCTTAGTATCATAGTAGTCATGTAATTCATGCATGCCGAATTTTTTGTGTACGATTAGGACAATATGCTACTTAATGATGCATCTTAGAAGGTAGTCAACTAAATACATGCCGAATTATTTGGTAGCGGTTACACAACATGCATAGAGAAGAAGTAGGTCCACACTGAATAGAAAATAAAAGAAAAGTTTTAGGCAAGAAGTAGGTCTGTCGATCCAGAGAGATAATGTTCCAACACCATCAAGCTAAGATGATGTTCAAACACCATCTGAATTTCAGCATGAATAACTGCTGCAATCTTCCCCTCCGATTTGTCCCCTTCTTCTGAAACTGCATCCTTGATGTGAGGTTTGAGAATACCCGCAACATCTTTGGTAATCTAATTATGGTCAACAACATCACTAGCGTCCGTTTCCAGCGAATCAGGCTGGTTCTCGCGCTCCTTCTTCTCTTTTGTCCCTTTCCATTTATGTTTCTTCTCTGCTCTGATACGGGTTAGTTCAGCTCCAGTGATACCTCCAGCAAACATTGTTTTCTTGAATGTGTAGACTTCCTTTATTAGATGGACGAGTTCATCTACAGTATCATCTTCAATCTCGTCATCCCAAATAAGGTCATCAGGGGAGTGTGACGTGTTCTCAAACATGGATATGACCTCAGTCTGCAAAAAGAAATCATACAATGAAAGTAGTCACTAATAGATGAGTTGCCCGTTATTACTACTTGTTAACGGCTACTATGCATTATAGTTTCCATTTTTTAGTTTATACTCTAACACATGGATGCGAGGAACTAAACTATACGAAATCTATGCAGGGTATGCCCTTATCTGCTAATGAAAATTAAAACCAATATATTACCCTAATCATGTCTAGTACAAACGTCAACGTTATTGCTTGCGTAATCAGTTACATATTGAAAAGATAACCTTTACCCTTTGGCGGTAACACCTAACAAAGAAATTAACGACACTAACTGGACGGTGTTAGCTAAGTTGCGATATTGGCGGTGCAGTTAGACGATAGTAGCTAATTCAGATGCTTACTGTGTTTAACTAACACTAGAACAATCGTTAACAAAAGTTAGTACTCGCTATATTCACCTGTAGCATTACAGTTGATATGGTATCTACTAATAATCCTTAGCACAGAACTGTAGGTGGTTTACTGCTTGTTGATTGCAGCAAAAGAAATTATTTGTTTTTAATACTTTAGAAGCTGACCTTTTCTTCTTCGTCGAGCACTTTAACGTGTGCTGGATTCACGTAATATCGCACTGATGCTGGCGGTGTGGAGGGTTTGGAGACAATTTGCACTTCTTTTTCTTCAGTTTGCGCATCGTCGCTATCTTTCTAGAGAAAAAAATCGCTCTGGTAATCGACGATTTTCTATGGTAATTTCAACCAAAAACTTTGTGTTACTGATAAAAGAGACGGGAATTGAGATTGAAGAGTCTGTGGGAAAGAAACATTAACTGTAGTGACTTTAAACAGCCTCGGTCTTGTTAAATGTAATTTTTGACTTTTCATTTACCCCGGTGTAATTATGATTCCTTGTGAAGTGCAGCTCATGCCGTGTAGACTAGAGTCTTAGGTTGTAGGTTCTGACAGTAAATCTAGAAGTACAAGATATGGAAGCTGAGGTAGTATAGGGGTGTTTCGGTATTAAAAAAAGTCAAACAGTGTAGGGGATATTCATCAAATTCTCATGCATCTCGTGTGTATAGCACCTAAATTCTCTTTAAATAACTATTATAATTTTATATTTAATCATGTAATAAATAAAATTTTATTTTCACTTGTTTTATATTTTATTATTTTTATTCTTAAGGACTCATAATTGAAGAACACCATTGGATCTAAAATTTAGATTAGAATCCTTAACTATTCTAAAAAAAATATATATACTTAAATAATGTTAAGGACTCTATTTAGAGTAACACCAATGCATATGCTCTAATTACTCCCGTTGCGGATGCTCTAACTAATCTCTCATAGAGTGTAAACGTGTGGAGAAGTCGGTGTCAACTTTATGAAGATTATTTCAAAACGCTATCTATATATGGCTTGTTTTCTCAAGTACTTATCCACCACCTAACTTGATTATGTTAGCCACGTTTGGAATCACAAGTCAACCTAAATGCCAATGCTCTTCCCTTTCTTTCTTTCTTTTTTTTTATTTGTATTCACCTCCGGATCCAAAGTTGTATGTAAATTTTTAGATCAATGACTGATCATGTTCTTTAATCTTTACCAGGCAAATGTTTTCAACTATTAATGCTTTTAAAACCAAAGGAAAACGAACGTCAAAATCACTCAAAGCTCACACCAGTTTGGGTTTGAGTGCTAAGTTAGAGTTTGGCATTGACTTTCTTTACATGACATTAGCATTACCTACACGAACCTATCACATTATTAACTTTTTTAAAAATATTATAAATCATATTATTATACGTATTTTAGCAATATTATCATTGCCCGATATCGAAGGAATGTCCCACTAATATTAAAAAATTACAATTCTACTCGTTTACAGTTTTACTAATTAAAAGGGTATCCTCGTAATAAGAGTGAGTCATTAGCCTTAATCAGTAACGCCTTGGCTACTTAAATACACGAAAAACACCAGATTCGCTTTTCACGCAGCTGTTTGATCGACGAAGAAGAAGAAAAAGAAGAAACCGAGAGATGGCGAGCGAGCTTATCAACCGTCGACACGAGGCAGACCAACCAGACGCCGACGCGTACTACCCAAGACCCACCAAACCATGGTCCTCCTCCGTAACCCGCCCCATGCGTTACATCCTCCGCGAACAAAGACTCCTCTTCGTCCTCGTCGGCATTGCAATCGCAACACTCGTTTTCACAATCTTCCCTCGCTCCACCACCCCTTACTCGGATCCCTTCTCCGGCTACGAGTCCTCCTACGTTCCGACACAGAGGAAGCCTAGCCTCGAGTACCTGAACAGGATGGGAGCAACGGGCGGGAAAATCCCGCTCGGTTTGAAACGCAAAGGGGTGAGAGTTGTGGTGACAGGTGGCGCGGGGTTCGTTGGATCGCATCTGGTGGATCGGTTGATGGCGAGAGGTGACAATGTGATCGTTGTTGATAATTTTTTCACGGGACGTAAGGAGAATGTGATGCATCATTTCGGTAACCCTAATTTTGAGATGATACGTCACGATGTGGTCGAGCCGATATTACTTGAGGTTGATCAGATCTATCATTTGGCTTGTCCTGCTTCTCCTGTTCATTATAAATTCAACCCTGTCAAGACTATCATATCCTTTTTGCAATTTTTTTTTATATTTTTATTTTGTTTTGGAGATGGAATGTTTTTTGTTATTGTGTTTCTTGACTTAATGTGGATACAAGACGAATGTGGTCGGAACGTTAAACATGCTTGGTTTGGCGAAGAGAGTGGGTGCTAGGTTTCTCCTGACGAGCACTAGTGAGGTTTACGGTGATCCTCTTCAGCATCCTCAGGTTGAGACTTACTGGGGCAACGTTAATCCCATCGGTAATTACCATATTCTAATCGATTTCGTCTTTGTTAAGTTATAGCTCATTTTTTGTTCCAAAACACTATTCCACGACGAGTTTCGAGCTTCTTTGTCCTTTTTTTTGCTTTTTGAATTTTCTTTGTTTAAATGAGTCAGAGAATGTACACGTTAGAGAGTTGAAAAAACAAGTGTTTTCTTTTCAGACATGGTCCCCATTTCTGTATGGTCAAACCATTGAACCGTGAAAACGGGTCTTTCTCGTCGTGCGTCTCTGATACGTGTCTCTCTACCTTAGATGCAGCCTCCATGTTAGCCTAACATTTCAAATGTACCTAACTACTTTCATATTCTAGGGCTTTTAAATGTTTTTTGCAAGCTGACAAAAAAGAAAGTTTTTTGATTTTACAGTCATTTTACTGACACTAATTTTTACCGTCGTAGCGATTCTAATTACAATGATCTTTGAAAAGTTCTTGACTCTTTTCTGACACGTGGTGAATCATGTGTCTTGTGGTTTGACTTACTGTGGTTGTAATGGTCGGAACAGGTGTTCGTAGTTGCTACGACGAAGGGAAGCGTACCGCTGAGACGCTAACCATGGACTATCACCGTGGAGCCAATGTTGAGGTTGGCCTCTTTTTCTTTACTGCCTTTCACGCCAAGTTATGTATCTTGTCTAGTAATTGATAAGAAGAATAGAGTGCGTGTTAATGAGTAACTCTATGACTGCCTTGTTGCTTGTCACAGGTCAGGATTGCTAGGATCTTCAACACATATGGTCCAAGAATGTGTATTGATGATGGGCGTGTTGTCAGCAACTTTGTTGCGCAGGTTTGTTGATAATTTAGTTGCACAAACTAGTAAACGATTTAAGAATGGTTTAGTGGATCTTCAGAGTAAGGATGGTGTGAGTTAACAAATTATTGAACAGGCACTAAGGAAGGAACCATTGACTGTTTATGGTGATGGGAAGCAGACAAGAAGTTTCCAGTTTGTTTCTGATCTGGTATGCCCTCTGCTTTTTCTCCCTCAAAGAACGATCCAGCAGTCTTATTTTGTGGTAATGAAGTCTTATTTTGTGTGTCTGTGTGATGCATAAAGGTCGAAGGTTTGATGAGATTGATGGAAGGAGAACATGTAGGGCCATTTAACCTCGGTAACCCTGGTGAATTCACCATGCTTGAGCTCGCTAAGGTCTCTTTCTATATATGTAAAATAAATATTTCTTTTATTTCTTTACATTTGAACCCTGGTGGGTTCTGATGATGTCGTTGATTTGGTTGCAGGTGGTTCAAGAGACGATTGATCCAAACGCAAACATAGCGTTCAGACCAAACACGGAGGATGATCCTCACAAGAGAAAGCCTGATATCACAAAGGCCAAGGAGCTTCTTGGTTGGGAACCAAAGGTCTCTCTTCGTCAGGGACTCCCTCTCATGGTCAAAGACTTCCGTCAGCGTGTCTTCGGTGACCAGAAGGAAGGCTCCTCCGTGACCACCACAACAACCTCAGCTTGAGCAAAAGCAATTGCATGCAGCGGCGATTGCGTTTGGTGAATGGTTATAACCAAAAACATCAACGCATTGCTTGCAGCAAGCTACATTGTGGAGAGAAGAGAGCTTAATTTATTTTTGTTTTATTTCTATTTTGATACTATATTCGTGTAACGTAGAGTAAGAGTTTTGGTGTACTTACTACTTATTCATGGACCTCACTACAGTTTAAGAAAAGCTTATCATTTGCAATTATAAAGTTCAAGTGGCATTGGTGCAACAACAAGTAAAGCTCCATATATTATCAAGTACAAGAGCAACTACGAGCAGGTTTCTCAGCAAGAAATACCAAACGCTTCTCATAGATGAGCAGCTTTATCAATCCCAATCCAACCTACGATCTAATGTAACTTTGTGTATAGTTTAACCAAAGAAACTTTTGTCTTTTGCTATTAAAAACTATTTAACGCTGGGTCTTAGTCATAAGAGATAAAACAGAACACAAGTGAAACGTACAAGGTAACACTAGATTAAAAGACTCATGATCAAAGATGTAATCTTGGTTGACGCAACAACAATTAAGAAGCGAGAGTATCATATGAAGAAACAACTAAGAGCAGCTAACATCTCGATCTCTTACTTGGGATTCCTAAGGACGATAATGACAGAGTCACCACGGAGAAACATCTTGCTGATGAAGCGATCTCTGTTGACGGGAAGAGCTTTCTTTTTTCCTTTTCCAGTTTTAGGTACCTAACGATACCATACAACATGTAAGAAACCACAAATTATATGAGTATAAACAGATAGCCTATAACAAAAAAAATAAAAGATTACCTCAGTCCACATTTCTCTGACATTCTCGAGAACCATGTTGCAGTGTCTGTCAAAAGCCCTAACACGACCAAGAAGTTTCCTGTTGTTGCGGCAATTAATCAACACCTGAGTGTTGTTCTTAACACTCATCATCAGAACAGAAAGTGGTCCCGTGTTGAATTCCTCCTCTTCCGTCTTTCCCTGCTAATTAAGTATACAGAAAGCATACAAAATCAACATTCGAGAAAAAGTAAAAAAGAGTTAACAATCCATCAACAAAGCATTCACTACAAGTTTGATGTTAATAAACACCAAGTAGAAGAGACCAAAAACTAATTCACACATCCATAACTAAGACCAGTGTATTTGCTCGCTTAGCATAACGTCCACAAGATATATAGAACTAATAAGAGTAGCTAAATCGAGTAGCTCGAGCCCTAAAATTCAAATACTATAGAGCAATGATGAGTGACATAACATAAGCAGCGAATTAAAGATTATTATTCGGATAAAAGAGAGATTAAACTTACGTTGGTGTCCTCTTCCATTGGCCTACTGCAAAAGACGAAACGAAATCGAGTGTTAAGAGAGCAAAAAATCTTTAATAATAAAAATAAATTAGCAGACGAAGCGATGAACACTAACCTCATGTTGACTTGGATTGGTGAAACGAGGAATCAAAGAGACAGTGAGTAGACCGACGAGAATTAGGGTTTTCTACCAGCTAAATCACGATCTCGGTTTTCTAAATAAGCTCAGAGGAAGACGAAGAAGGAAAATAGAAGTTGAAAGCCGTGGCGGTTAAAAGTGGGCTGCATTGAAGGCCCACATAGTTATTGGGTCTTAATTATGCTAGCCCATTAACTATTCACTTTCTTTTCTTTTTTTTTTAACACAATCACAATAACTTTATTATTTTTTTTTTTTGGGGCAAAATCACAATAACTTTATTAATGATCAAAGTAATCTGTTGTAATGGTATCCCAAAGAAAATTGGGAATACAAGTATAGTAATGAAAGATAGAATGATTTGGAATAGCTTTTTTTGCAAGTAAATCTGCACACGCATTGGAGTTTCGATTTATCCAAACAATTTTGACATTCTCAAATTTTGTACTCCATCTCCAGATATCTCTTGACCAGTTGAGAACGTAAACGTTAGTCGTCTTCTTGTTTAAAAGATTGGTGACATTGATGTTATCTCCTTCAAAGATGACTTTTTTATATCCTTTACTCCAACAATTCATCATCACCATTAATAAGGCTTGTAATTCACTTTCTAGAGCATTGTGAGGTAATGTATATGAAGCTTGGCCCGCACCCATGTATCTTCCAGATTCATCTCTTAGAATCCATCCTGTCTTAGCCGGTAACATCCCATTTATAAATGAACTATCATAGTTGCATTTCACATACTCTGCTGGTGGTCTTGTCCATTTGTTACGTTGGTCTCGTCGTCCTGGACCTGGTTTTCTACCCTTGCCATCTCCTTCTAGATATTGATATGCATCAAGCCATTCCTTTGTATCGAAATAGGCTGCTTGTAACGTTGCACGCCAGTGGTTTGTTTTGTTTTGAAACATCATTTTATTCCTGCATTTCCACATCCTCCATAAGATCCACCAAGGTATATGACGCAAATGATCTGGTAATTCTTGTGACCGAAAGAAAATAATGTGGAGTTTATTTTCTAGTGTTGACGGTTGTTGTAGGAGCGTAAAATTAGGTAATCCAGAAGCACGCCATATCTGTTGAGCATAGAAGCAATCAAAGAAAATGTGTTCCTCTGTTTCCTCTTGGTATCAGTGCGGGCATGTAATAGACTGAGAAATATGTCTTCTACGAAGGTTTTCTCCTAGAGCTAGAGATCTCGTGGTCATCTTCCATATAAAGTGTTTCAACTTTGGGGCTGTAGGTAGTTTCTAGAGTGATTGTTTAAGTTGCAGGTCTCCCGGAGGTGGCTCAATTGGAGGAGAGAGGGGGTCGTGTGTAGCTAGCCAGTATCCTGAGCTTACTGTATACAGACCTGATTGGTTATAATGCCAAATGAGTTGATCTTTATCAGCAAAAGGACAGAGTTTCATAGCGAGTATCATATCAGCATCATCTGGTGTAATCATATTTCTAATCAGCTCTTCATTCCATCCTGATTGATCTTGTTTAATGAGGTTTGAGACCATTAGGTCTGGTATGAAAGGTCCTAATGGAGATGGAGCCCTTGGTGGAGACAATGGTAGCCATGGATCATTCCAGACATTAACACTTCTTCCATTTCCAATAATGAACCTTAACCCCTTTCTTAACAGATTTCGACCATGAAGTAAAGAGCTCCAGATATATGAACTCTTCTTGGAAAGGTTTGCATTTATGATGTTGGTATGAATAAAATAACGTCCCTTCAAAACACGGGCCATCAGACTATTTGGTTGTTGAAGGATCCGATAAACTTGTTTCCCAAGTAAAGCATCATTAAATTTTTCAATATCTCTAAAACCCATTCCACCCTCCTTTTTAGGGATACTCATTCTTTGCCAAGCAAACCAATGCATTCCTTTAGTTCCATCTCGTTTGCTCCACCAGTAGGTAGCCAGTATATTATTAATGTTATCACATACCGTTTAGGTATTTTGAAAACATTCATGGGATATACTGGCATTCCAGTAGCAACTGATTTAATGAGAACCTCTCTACCTCCTTGTGAAAGGAATCGTTGGTTCCATCCTTGAGTCTTAGCTTTGATCTTCTCAGTGACATACAGGAACATGTCGGTTTTCTTCCCTCCTATCTGTTCTGGAACCCCAAGATACTTACCTCCACCACCTTCATTGTGAATACCCAAAATGTTTCTCATTTGTGTTTTAATCTGATCTTTGACTCGAGCACCAAATGTGATAGCAGACTTCCGAAGATTAACAGCTTGTCCTGAAACTTTCTCGTACTCGCTTAAAATCTTCTGTATAGCCTTCCCATTCTTTGGATTAGCTAACGTAAAGAATAATGAATCATCTGCAAAGAGTAGATGGCTTATTGAAGGACTGTGGGTACCGATCTTCATTCCTTGTATTTTCCTTTCTGCTACAGCTTTGTTCATCAGATGGGAAAGGACTTCCGCACAAATGATGAATAGATATGGGGATAAGGGATCACCTTGTCTAATACCTCTTTCAGGTCTAATATATCCAGTAGGTGATCCGTTGATAATCACCGAGAAAGAGACTGTCTTGACACATATCATGATCCAGGTTATCCACTTTTCACAGAAACCTATCTGTCTCATAGTTTCTTCTAAGAAATTCCATTATAAACGGTCATAGGCCTTTGTAATATATGTCTTCAACGCCATATAAGATTTTGATTGTCTTTTACGACTCTTGAGGGCATAATACATCTCATGAGCAATGATCACGTTGTCTGAAATGATGCGACCAGGAGTGAAAGCCGTTTGAGTCTCAGAGATGATGTCCACTAGGTGATGTTTAAGTCTTTTAACTAGAATCTTTGATATTATCTTGTAGCTGGTATTACATAGAGCTATTGGTCTGAAATCCGTCATTGCCGTAGCCGGTCTAACTTTGGGAATCAAACAAATATTTGTATGATTATGGCTTTGATCCAGAAACCCCTGTTCAAAGAACTGTTGTACTTCACGAACCACATCAGGTCCTATATCTTCCCAAAAGGTATGATAGAAAGATGCAGAGAAACCATCAGGTCCAGGGGTTTTGTGAGCGCCAATATCAAAAGCTGCTTCCTTGATCTCTATATCTGTGACCGGTCTTGTTAGATCTGTATTAATAGCCTCTGTGACCCTTGGTAAAAAGCCTTGAAAAGTATCTCCATAATTCGCGTTTCTTTGTTGAGTTTGAAATTGCGTGTTGAAGAAGTCAACAGCAGCATGAGATATATTTCGATGGCCTTGGATAATGTTCCCGTCTCTATCATAAAGAAGACTGATCCGATTACGTATACGCCGTGCTTTGGTAATGGAGTGAAAAAACTTGGTATTACGATCACCTTCTCTGAGCCAAGGGTTCCTGCTTTTTCTTTTCCAAAACATTTCTTCATCTATGTAAGCTTGTTGTAGTTGCGTATGTAGTGTTTTCCTTTCTTGCACCGGGTGTCCTTCTGAACAAGCAATATCAAGCTTATGCCGTAGAAGACTGATCCTTTCACGAGCATTAGAGTTATGTTGTCTTTTCCATTTGGAAATGTGTGATCTACTCTTTCGAAGTTTCTGTAGGAATGAGATGTTTCTGTTTCTACTATTCTGGTTCCAGTGGTCAGTGACTGATGTTTGGAACCCTTCATGTGTTTTTAAACGATCATCATACATAAAAGTGTATTGTCTTTCCTCTTGTCTCCCATCAAAGAAAGTAACAAGGGGTCTATGATCGGACTCCCCCATTTCCAGGAAGTGAGTTTCAGCTGTTGGAAATTGTTGAAACCACTCAGGATTACCCATAGTGCGATCCAAACAACAAGTAATGTGGTGATTTCCCCTCTGTCCTGCCCATGAAAATCTGTTACCCACTGCAGGAATGTCTGAGAAGTTACATGTTCTGATCATTTGTCGAAAGGTATGAAAGCTGCTTTCTGGTCTGATGATGCCACCAGTTTTCTCATTATTATTGAGAATTTCATTGAAATCCCCCATGATGATCCAACTCCCACTGCGATTAGTAGCCATTCTCTCTAATCTTTCCCATAACAAATGTCTGTATTGTCGCTCTGGGTAACCATATACAAATGACAAGTAGAAACTGATTCCATTAAAAACCACAGAACAATCAACTAGATGAGGAGACTGATACAACACGACTAAGTCAACCTCTGGCTTCCAAAATAGAGCTAAACCACCACTTAAACCATGAGGTGGAACTGTTACATAATTAAGATAACCTAAATCACATCCTAGATCTCTGAGGCAGTCGTCTTGTTGTTTTGTCTCAGAGAGGCAGATTATGTCCAAGAGATACTTGTGATGTATCTCTTTTAGGCGTCGAACTGTCGAGTCATTGCCTATCCCTCGACAGTTCCAACATGCCACTCTCATGGAGGAAGAGGTGGTTCTGGGCCCACCGCGCCTCTCAACATCTTAGTTGGGTCTTCGTTAGTGCCTTCCGTAGCCTCTGTGTCTTCCAGAGCACCATCATTCACATCGATCTTCCTCTTCACTCTTTGTGTTCCACTCTGCTCACCTTTCTCCAGACGTAAGAACTTGGATTTGTTTATTGGTGCCTCCTGCATCCATGCTTTTCTTTTCAGAAACTCACGCCCATCATACCTATTTGCAAACGGCTTGCAAGCATACATCTCCTCCATATTCAAATCATCAGAGAACATGGTGCGCTTTGCCTCTCCATTCCAGAAATCATCTTCGTCTACATCTTGTTCGAGTTGCAGATTCTCTTCATCAACTTCCTCAACATTTGGTTCCTGATCATCTGCCAAGACTGCACCCATAGCAACTATCTAGTCATTTGCACCAAGAGCATTATCACCCTCCTGAATTTCTTCAATGTGAACCCCTGGATTCCCTTGAACTTCGTCCTCCTGGTGCTCTTCATCAGCATCATCATTGTTGTTATCATCATCAGGGCCATCCTCTGGACCACCATTTTGTATCAAGCATCTTCCTGAGTCGTGAGTCATCATACCACAAATCTCACAGAAGCCTCTGAGCCTTTCATAATAGAACTTAAGGAGCGTGTTCACTCCTGGTTGGAACTGGAACTTGCGTTGAAATCGGAGAGGGTTGGTGATGTTCCAGTTTAGCCTTATACGAATGAAATCATGTCTTCCTCCTGCTTCTTCATTGTAATCCATTTGGATATATTCTCCCATTTCTCGAGCAATGTGGAGTATCACCTGGCGGTTCATGAATTGGAATGGTATGCCTTTGACTTGAATCCATAGAGGAATGAGATTCAAAAGAGACATATCCATTAAGGGACTCCACTTCTGTAAAGTGATCATCCGGTCAGCATAGGCCCATGGTCCTCGACGCAGCACTGTGTCCATCGCTTCCTCAGACGGAAAAACAAATTGAAAACGACGACCCTCCATGACTCGGCCTCGAACTAACCCTTCCAGACCCCATACTCTTGGCATAGTAGCAACAAGAGCCCTGATGTTTTGACGACGCGGAATAGTTGGACGTCCGATGAGTATGAAGCGGTTTTCATCTGCAGCTTGTTGGACCACCGCAGACGGTAAGACAAAAGGCGCATCTTCACTCCTCAGATCTATGTCTTGTAAAGCACGTCTTATGTTGTCGGGCATCTTTTGAATGGTAGTATAGATTCTCAGAGGAAATTTCAGAATTTTAGAGAGAAAATCTCGAAACAAGTAGAAAATTAGAGTTCCTTCCCAGATATTTATATAGCCTTCATATCTCGTTGTAGTCAAGTCATCGTGTTGATGAGTAACCAACACAGGAATACAGGGGAACGTGGGTGAAGAAACTGCTCTAATTCCCACTCTTCCATCAAAATCATCATCATCATCCATCAAAATCGGGATGAGAAAGTACCAAAGTAGCAACCGTTTGAAGATCGCCAAAATATCGCCAATAACCGTTTTTTCTTTCGACATCTTCCTTTAATTAAACACTCTAACTATTGTGTTCGTCCTCTCACGAATACACGCCCATCTCTCTATGTTACAGACTTCGCTTTGCTTACGTTTCTATTTGAAAAATTATCTCATAGTAGATCACTATACATACAAATTCCAAATTTTAACTTCCACTTATAATTCATCGTACCAAAATTTTAAATTTCAACTTCAAAAACATGATTTTAATCTGCATACAAAGATCAAAAATAAATAAACAAACTCGAAATAACAAAACTGCATAAAATCTTCAAGTGTGCAACATCGATAGTAAGAGCATGAAGTTTCAAAATATTCCATGAAATTGCTAAACAAAACCAGGATCATCCTTATGGTTTCTAAGCACCGAAGCTGTGCTTAATTCATTCTCTGGGCCGCCTCCTTGGCGAGAACCCTCTCCTTAGCTTTGGTCTTGGCTTGAGACTTGGATCCCATTATCCCTCCTCCCCACTTCTTCCTGTACTCCTCGTACTTGTCATTAAAGTTTGCCTATTCACACCCACCAAAAACAAAACATGTTAAAGATTATAATCAAGTCTCAATGACAACTTTATGTTGAGACATCTTTATTTTATTTACCTTGATGGCTTCAAGGATTTTGCTAAACTCGAGTTTGTCCTCGTTCTTGACAGTGGTCAAGCACAAGCAAGCAGCAGTCTTCTGGTGAACGACCTGAAAGTAGATGAGAACATAAATCAGGTGTTAAGAATGTGAAGAAAACACTAGTATGAAATGTAAACCCTAAGGAGAGGCGTGTTATAAATACCGTTCCAAGACGAGATTTGCCCTTGACAATGCAGTAAGGAACCTCCATTTTCCTGCAAAGGGCAGGTAACCAGACGACAAGCTCGATGGGGTCAACATCGTGAGCAATGACCACAAGCTGTGCCTTGTTCTGCTCGATGAGGTAAGTCACGTGGTTGAGTCCGTACTTGACGACAATAGGCTTCTTGGATTCAGAAGTCTTTCCCTCAGTCTCAGCTTGAGCTTTCTTCAAAAGACGATCTTTCTTTGCAGCCTTGTCCTCTGGCCTGTACTTCATAAGTACCTTGAATAGCTGGGTTGCTGCAAAGTAAGAATTACAGTAAATAGAGTTATGCAACTAACTAATGTAAGAGAAACAATGTTGAAGAAAGAGTGAGAGAGTTACCAAGGTTCTTGTCAAGAGTCTTGGTGAACTGGTTCAAAGCAGGAGGGACCTTGAGCCTCTGCTTAAGGATACGCTTCTGTCTTTGAAGACGGATGGACTTGGGCCATTTGATGTAACGAGTCAAATCCTTCTTAGGAGGCAAAGCACCACCGATACCGAATTGCTTTGGCCTTCTCTCAAACAACGGATTCGTAACCTTCTCCTAAAAAAAAGAAACAACACAAATCGAATAAGACATCATAGAACAATGCTTGTAGATGCTTTAAGGAGAAAGCAGTTAGAGCATACCGTCTTCTTCTTGGCAACCACTTTCACTCCCTTTTTAGGTGCCTACCAATTACAAAATGTCAAAGAAACAAATAAGTCACAAGGCCATAAGCATCGGAAACAAAAACTCAACACGATTAGTAGTACCATGAAACCTAGAAGTAGCAAATGAATTCCACAAGACAGTACGAAATCAATCAACGCCACAATCCAAATGTACTAACTTAGATTAAAGACACTAGAGCAATAAATAGATCCAGAGCATAAAGAAGCTGAATTAGAGTTGCATAAACATACCATTGGTGTTGTTGATTTCTGGAAGCAGACGGCGGAGAGAGCGGCAAAGACTGACAGAGATTAGGGTTTTATGTTATCACTTGTTTATATAATGGACATGTAATTATCTGATATTTACATTTTAGACCCAAAACGTTTTGATTTCTAAAAACCGGCCCATCTACTAAACCAGTGAGTCCGGTATGATCTCCAAGACACAAGTGTCATTGACTCTTGATGAATGGACTTGTCCCGACAACTGAAAGCAACAAAACCAATAAACAGAAACATAAGATTGTTTCCGACGTTGTCCGGTGAGTGTGGATGCATCAAAGAAAATGACAATCTGAGAAATGGTAATAACGAGAATATCTTATACTACTATAAATCCGATTCTTCATATACGACATCTAACGCTCGAGTCTTTCCTATGGAACCTCATAATCCGCGCCACTCTTCACAACCCCACCCCACATTCTCCAATCTCCGTCTACCTCCGTATGCGCCGCCACAACGTCACTCCCGACTTCCACACATTCCCCTTTCTCCTCCCTTCTTTCTCCAACCCAATTCATCTCCCTCTCGGCCAACGAACCCATGCTCAAATCCTTCTCTTTGGTCTCCACGCTGACCCCTTTGTCCGCACTTCTCTCCTCAACATGTATTCTACCTGCGGCGACTTGGACTCGGCTCACCGAGTCTTCGATGATGACGACTCTGTCACCAAAGATTTACCGGCCTGGAACTCTGTGGTCAACGCTTATGCCAAAGCTGGTGTGATCGATGTTGCGCGGAAACTGTTCGACGAAATGCCTGAGAGAAACGTGATTTCTTGGAGCTGTTTGATTAACGGGTATGTTATGTGTGGGAGGAATAGAGAAGCGCTTGGTTTGTTCAGAGAGATGCTGTTGCCGGAAAAAAACCGAGGTTTTGTCAGACCAAACGAGTTCACATTGTCGGCTGTGCTTTCCGCGTGTGGGAGATTAGGTGCGCTTGAGGAAGGGAAATGGGTTCATGCTTACGTGGATAAGTACAATGTGGAGATTGACGTTGTGTTAGGTACATCTCTCATTGACATGTACGCTAAATGTGGGAGTCTCGAGAGAGCGAAACGGGTTTTTAACTCCTTGGGGTTCAAGAAAGATGTCAAAGCTTACAGTGCAATGATATGTTGCTTGGCAATGTACGGCTTAGCAGAAGAGTGCTTCCAGCTCTTCTCTGAGATGACGACTAGTAATAATTTAAATCCAAACTCTGTGACTTTCGTGGGGATTCTTGGTGCTTGTGTTCATGGTGGTCTTGTAGAGGAAGGAAGATCATACTTTGCAATGATGGTTGAGGAATTTGGTATCACTCCATCGATTCAGCATTATGGATGTATGGTTGATCTTTACGGAAGAGCTGGTTTGATCGAAGAGGCAGAGAGTTTTATAGCGTCTATGCCTATGGAGCCTGATGAACTCATTTGGGGGTCTCTCTTAAGCGGGTCGAGAATGGTTGGGGATGTCAAGACTTGTGAAGCTGCACTCAAGCGACTCATCGAGATAGATCCCATGAGTAGTGGAGCCTATGTGCTTCTGTCAAATGTCTATGCTAAAACAGGGAGGTGGATAGAAGTTAAGCGTATCAGACAAGAAATGGAGGCAATACATAACTACTTTCTTCTTGCAAAACTCTTTGCTAAAAATATGTTTCTGAACTGACTTCAGATTCTTCCTACAGGTGAAAGGTATTAAGAAAGTTCCGGGATGCAGCTCCGTTGAAGTAGATGGTGTGATTCACGAGTTTGTTGTAGGAGACGAGTCTCAAGAAGAGAGGGAAAGTATTTACGCTATGCTCGATGAGATCATGCAGAGGCTGAGAGAAGAAGCTGGTTATGTTTCCAACACCAAAGAGGTTTTACTTGATATTGATGAGGAAGGTAAAGTGAAGGCGTTGTCTTACCACAGTGAGAAATTGGCAATCGCCTTCTGTTTGATGAAGACGAGGCCTGGAACTCCGGTGAGGATCATCAAGAACCTCAGAATCTGTGGGGATTGCCATCTTGTGATGAAGATGATCTCTAAGCTATATGGTAGAGAGATTGTTGTAAGAGATTGTAATAGATTTCACCATTTTAGAGACGGATCTTGTTCTTGCAGAGATTATTGGTGATATAATTGCTGCACAAATGTTTGAATACACACATTGCAAAGGTTTCAAAATTAAGGAAGAAAATAAATAAAATAGCTTGATGTTAACTGTAGAACTCTAATGTATATATCTTTGATGAAAAATGTACAGTTTATACATAAAGGCCATTCAAATCAGAGAAGGCATACATACACTCATGAGTTGAGGATTTTGCTAAAAACAAAAAATATTAGTTTAAGATACGACATAGATAAAGAGGAACCAAAGCCTGTTTCAAAACTGCAACTGAAAATCAAGATCGGGAAGTTATTGGAAACTCCGAGAAAGCTCCTCCAAGACCGCACAACTCTATTTGTAACTTTCTTTTACTTTGTATCTACAAAAAGAAAAAAAGACAACACTGCACCAAGAGAAAAGAGCAAAAAGGAACATCAGCTTTATGTTTTTGGTTATAAAACTCAAGAAGATGTAAATGAATAGATCTTTCTTACCTCCTAAAACTGAAAAAGCCTATCACCACTACAGGGAAAGCTACTATTACTCCAAACTCTTCTAATCTTATTGTTTCCTTTCTTTGTAATATACCCTAAATGGCTTTTATTTGAATGAGACAGTTAACAATCTGCAAAAAAAAGAACATTCAACTTAAGTTTCACCCCAGAGCGTGAACAACACCAACAAAAATGGTGATTGATGTATCAGAATGGAACAGGATATACTAACTGACCTCATACTGGGAGAACGGATTTCTCTGTCTTGTGATCGAGAAATGGAGAATCCAGTACCAGAAGTTACACCTTGGTTGCTCTGTATACATACTCCATACATGATTCTTAGCTGGAAAAGAAGCTTCCTTATTATGTTACCTTTGTGAGTTGTTCCTCGGCAGAATTAGAGAAGTATCTGATGGAGTCAAATGTCATGTTCCTTCCTTGGTTTACCAGAAAGCTCTTCATAGCAGACTCTGTAAGCGGAACTCTTCATGGAATTTGTACAAAATGATTATGACACCCAAAACAATTGCTCAAAACGCAGGCAGAGCCGCAAGGCAACAGATGATCCTTTTCACCATCAGAATTTTGCCTCTTCTTTTTCTCACATTTTCGTATATAAGCTGCTTCGTTTCAGCTGTCTTTCACCGGTTATTGGCATTCATTGCAAGCTTCACTAAACGTAACAACCCCTCCAAGTCTTGAAAGTTATAATCAAGGGCGCTTTTAATGGATATAATTCCCTCTCCTTGTTGTTCACCCTCCCCCAAGTTTTCAATAGAAGCTGCCAATGCCATACGTGATTTCCTTGATGCATCCATTGCCAGATTTACGTTCTGAGCCTGCAAACAATAGAGAGTAGCTGAGATTAATCACACTTTAGCATAGGTCTATAAAGTATCAACGCTTCAAAGCAAACGAAGCACATCACTTCATGTTCCACTTTAACGAATTTGAAATCTAAGTATAGCTGTTAGCAAAGTGAAATTGCAAGAGTCATTAATAAACTTACAAATTGAATTAGACGTAAAATATTAGAGCGGTTTTGCGCAGAAATGACGTGGTTCCCAGCAACTAAAGGAGAACTGGTGCACCTTGAGTTGCCAACTCTGTCTACTGCTGCTGGATGGTTCACGTTATCAACATCCGAAGCAGAAGAGGAAGGAGACTCACCTAAAAGGCAGTGACAAGAAGATTACAATGTGAAGAATATTTCAAAACATCTTTGGCCATATCAGACTAGCTTACCTGGAGGAACTATTTGCAAAGAAGTCTGCAATTCATTTCGATATCTATTAGCACTGGTGGAAGAGGAATTGACCCATCTCATATACCCAGCCTCCATGCATTTGTAAGCCAGAGCAGCAGCTCCCATCTCTTTAGACTTCTCATACTCACGTGCACAAAATCTATCATGAAAAGGGAGGTTATTCAATGATTACAAATGGTAAAGAAACGTTTTTTTCACGCAGTTTTAAATTACCCGCAGAGATTCGCTGTGCTGCTATAAATACTCGTAGAGTGAGCACTCTCGTTACTGCTCATCTCCAAGAGAGAAGCACCGTGAAGAAACTTGAGGCAAGCTTGGAAGTAAAGCTCAATAAACTCAAGGTTTGACAACGAACTCTGCAGTAACAACAAAAGTAAGACCATGAGAAGGGAATACAAAATGGAAAGAGAGATAAAGCTGCAACTGAATTATGAGAAGAAACCTTGAGGCGATCAGCTGTATGTTTTAGGTCTGTAGCTTCTTTCAAAATATTATGGGCGGCTTGCACAGATGTTACTTCCTTTCGCAAGGGGCTTGGAGACGGCTCGTTTTTCCTTCTTATCTGGGCTGTTGTTGCCTTTGTCACATCATCATCAGCTTGGATACTATTATTGCCAGCTGACGTGCTGCATTTTTCCACTTTCTTACGGGAGGAATCACCTCTAGATGGTGGCCGTGATGGAGAAGTTAGATCTGCTCTATTACTCCTTTCTGATACTCTTTCAACGTCATAAGGTTTCGGAATGTTTGCTTTCACGACCATGTCTATTCTACTGTCTGGACTAGCGTCGTATATCTTATTTTCAATATGTCTCGGACCATCCCGTGAATCAGACCTAATGCTTAGGTTCTTGTCTTTGGACCGAGAAGATGAACCTTTTCCTGACTTCTTCGCCAAAGAATCATTGCTACGCCGATGATGATGGTCGCTAGATTGCTTTCCTTCATCCAATTTTAGTGGTAAATCCTTGTGGCCACCATTTTCTAAATTGGCATCCAGAGAAGGTTCAGCGCGCTCTTTAGCTTTCAACGATCCTTTATTATCACAGACATCAAGCACAGAAGACTCATGGGATCTATGTTTTGTCCGCGTTTGCGATCTATCACTCCCACCATCACCTTCACCATCTGAGAATCTTCTCATACTACTTGCTGGGAAGACGTCAGCATCATAAGATTCTTCTTTCTTCTTACTCAGAGATACACTTTTATCCGGGTTGGGGATCCTCTTAGGTGAGGACGACACCGACTCAACAGGCGAGCATTTAACTTCGTGGGAGCTGTATCTAGGTTTATGAGAATCGGAAAGCTTAGAAGAACTAGAGGTGGCCGCAACATGTCCGTACTCTCTTTTCGAATGACTTGTGTTTTGCTTTTCCGACTTTCCATTGCCATGAGAGAAACTTGGCTCCTTTTCTTCTTTAAGAACTCGAGCTTTCTTTCGTTCATGGTTTTCGTTCTCACCGTAAACCCGAGAACCATGGCTTTCTTTCAATTTCCTCTTTTTACTTCCCCCTGTGCTATTGCTGTTTCCCGTGTCTGAAGCTCCCCCTTCCTCGTTTGGCATTTTAGAGGAGGCTCGAGGCTTGTGCTTTTTATCTGCTGACGCGACAGGGACACCACTACTCGAGGTAGGACGTCCATTGCCGTGTTCAGATTCATCATGAAACAGAAAACTTTCAATCTTCATTTTCTTGGCCAGCATAGAACTATCTTGATCTGCGTTCCTTATGTTATTCATCTTCAAGCTCCTCGAGTCATCAGAGTGGTGATCCACTGCTTTTCCTTTCTCTTTCTGTTTATGCTTATGTCTCTCTTCGTCAGCAAAGTCACCAAGTCCATGCGAATTGTGCATGATTCCATTTCTTGCTGATGTTAAGATACTCTTCTTGCTTGTTTCTGCAGTTCGAGAAACTTCTTTAACCATTCCATTGTCTAACTTTTTTAAACCTTTCCTCTTCCTTTTTGTGTTGTCGTCTCCCTGATTAAACTCAGGTTTAAGGCCACTGGGGTTACTCTGCACTGGAGCCTGGGTTTCAGGTGCCGGCATCTGATACATCGCATACAAAGCTTTCGTTGTTTGCTCTTCAGGAACATTGCAAGAGTTCATACCAGGGCTGAAGCACACATTATGACAAAGGAAATCAAACACACATTATGACAACTAGCCAATATAGCACACCGAAAAAATAATATGACAAATAATAGAGAATTAAGAAAAAACTCACAGCCAATCAAGCATCGTGCACATCCATTTCTCCGGAAGTTCGGGGACATCACCAAAAGGACGAATCCGCCACTTTCCACACTTGTCACAACCAACCCAATTTTCTTCTATGATCACGGGATTCGCTTTAGAAAGAGAAGAATCACTACCAAAGTTGCCCACTACGGGTCCAGGACCAACATTCTGAGATTCTGTCAGTGCGACTCTTGATTTTTCCGGCATATCTTCAAAGGTCGGAAGTCCCTTTTCCGATACACGGACATCTTTTAGTTCCAACGAACAATTATGTTCCATTTCTTCATCAGAGTCCTCTATGTCTCCAAAAAAGTCTTTGTAAGTATCCTCAGCCTTTTTGCCACCATTATGTTGTTTCAAGGCTGCCACTTCCTTCTTCTTAGCTTGACCATTCATCTTTGTATCATAAACAACAGAGGTTTTATGTTCCCTAAACTTCGAAGAAGACTGTGGCTCCCGTTCAATCTGATCAGACTTCTGTTTTCTTGATGAATGTTCTGGCTCCGCCTTTTGACCACTTTTCAGTTTTGACGCTTTTGGTTCCTTTTTAACCAAATCAGGAGCTTTGCTTCCTTTGTATTCTCCATCATCATCACCAAATCTGGTCTTCTTATCTTCCCGGACATTTGCAGCTGAACTAGTCTTTGGATTCTCATGATGCGGCTCAAGATCTTTATGACGGGTTAGACCCCACAATCTACTTCTCTCTACATCACCCGCCATTTCTCCCTTAACAGTGCCATTGTAGCTTTCTTTGGATGCATCAAATAATTTACTACTGACTGTTTCTTTCTCCGTCGCAGAAGGATATGATGTGTTTGTTTCCGTTGCATCAGTTTCATCTAATACGCCCTTCTTACTGCGGACATTTGTCTCTGCAGACAAGTTGTTCCTCTCCATCATCTTTCTTTTCTTCTCCACTAATGGATTTTCTCCAGCCTTTTGAGGCTCTGGACGGTTTGCCATAGTAGAAGAACTCTCAATGAAAAGCCTGGATGGAGATGTATGCTTATATCCCTTCTCGGGTTTTTCCCTCTCAATGAATCGAATCAGATCATCAGAGAGAGGAGATAGCAACTGACAATGATCCACAGGAAGGGAAGTCATAACCTGCACATAAGAATATATCAACACATAGAGCCTCTCACAACAAATGAGACTGTTGCATTATATCGAAACAAAGCAAGGAAACTCTCACATTAAGAATATTGGTGGGAGACTCCAACGGAGAATAACCTTCAGGTTCCCCATTCTTCCCTTCACTGCCAGAAAGACTATCATTTTCTAATGACAAAGAAGGCGACACATCGAGTCCGAGGCCACTGTATATCGCAGCAGCCTTCTTTTCAGTAGGTAAATTATCTGATCCCATCTTTATCCGAAGCTTCAGAGAGCTCTGTTTACTGAAGACCCCAGGTTTTTTGGTTGCAGATTCATGTCTGGAACTGGAGTTGGGTTTCTTGGATTTCACTGATTTTTGGGGGATTCTAGAGGAGGCAAGCTCAGATTTTTCCTTTCTAGGAACACTAGAAGAAGCTGCATTACCACTCTGGGACTGAGAGAAGAAAAGATTAGGAGACTAAGTATTGTTATAGCATTTACAAAAACAAATGGAAGGTTAAACGCAGAGAAAAAAAACATCTACCTCCCCTAGCAAGATGTTAGGAGATCTAGTCCCTGCAGAACTCTGAGGTTTTGCAGGTGCCTTTGGAATAGACCAAAGAGGGGAACGTTGATAAGTTGGTAAGAAAGAACCATAGCCACCAAATTTCGCCCCTGTAAAGAAATTGAAATGACTAGTTTCAAACTATGTGACCCAAACGAAGAAGAAGAGTTACTGACACACGTGAACATACCAAGATTCTCAGCAGAAAAATCGCCCTCAAAGTCTTTCTGGAAATGTCCAAGTATGTTTTGCAGCTTGTCGTCCTTCAAAAAAAAACAAGAGAAAACCAAAACATTGATTACTTGCAAACTAAACACCCGGTAGATGAGGCAAGGCGCAAATAACTTGGGAGTATCGTTGCAGTTGAAACATAATGAAAATTACTAAACCCTAAAATTTAAACATACATACCATACAAACCTTGAACACATCCATGGAATAAAACCTAAACACGCAGCAGGCAAATCGCAAACTAAAGACTTCCAAAAAGGTGCCAAGGCTTAAATTGTTTAACAAACTGGGAAACTGATCTGATCGCAATTAAAGTGGTGTTTTCGTTGCAGTTGAATCATGATGAAATTACCAAACCATAACAATTTAAAAGACATACCATGTTGACCGCATACACATCCTTAATATCCCTACCAAAGTGATACAATACAAATTCAAACAAAGAGATTAAGGTAAGAAAATCAATGTTACAAAAAATCGGTCTATGCAGCAGATCGAACCTAAACGAAACGATTTTTCTTGAACGATATTTTTAAAAATATCGGTCTAGACCTTCATAAAATTGGTCTACGCATCCATCAACTCAATAATTTTCTATAAAACCCTAATTACCATTCGTGAACATTGAAGAAAAGACAGTAACATTAGCACTTGACACAGTTCATAATCCATAAGACACTAATATTAATTAAAAAAAAAAAGAGGTTAATCTTACAATGTAAGAGAGATCATTGTCAGGGTCGAAGCTTGAACCAAAATCGTTAGTAAGATTGTAAGAGCAAGCCTCTCCTTCTTCAAGCTCAGACTCATCCATATCTATATCCACACCACAGCACCCAAACCCTAACCCTAGCCCCTTTCTAACATTCCAATCAATCCTCCACACACACACACACACAAAAATAAAAATAAACTATTGGCTACCGATCCACGAAACAGTAAAGCCCCAAATTATAAGATTTGCCCTAGCTAGGTCAAATTCGAAATCCGATCAGGACCACGCTAAATCGAAACACAAGAGACAAAGTAAAAAGCTCCAGAAAGTGAATTTGATTTTTTTGTTCAATTAAGAGGAATAATTGAATCGAAGAGAGAAACAATTTGATCAAAAGAGAGCAGAATATTTAGAGATTTTTTTGCGAAAGGATCAAATGAGTTTGGATCTCTGTTTCGCTGAGAGGACAAATCAATTCAGCAAATTAACCCGAAGAATCTCCCGGGTTTTGGTATAGGGGCAGCCGCGGTTTTTTGTTTCCTTTTTTTTATTTATTTATTTCCATTTGTTGACAAAACAAAAATATTATTTCCATTTTTTTTCTTCCCTAGTCCCTACATGTAGCAAACCTACAATGGTAAATTATGTCCCAAGTTTTTTTTTTAACAAATGGAACAAATATAAAGAGAAAATAACTAGAATAAACCTAAAAATTTTTTATCACAAATATAGATTTTAACAATTAAAATGATCAAAATAGCACTTAAATATTTGATTAAATATACATTTATACATTTGGGTTAACTAATCCTAGATTTTTTGTTTAGAGTTAAGGAATGGAGTTTTGGGGATATGGTTTCGAATTTAAAAAAATTTAAACAACTTAAAATTTTCAAAATAAAAAGTGCTATTTTGGTCATTTTAATTTTTATGGTCTATTTTCTGATAAAAACTTAAAAGAGGGCTATTTGAGAGAATTGCCCCAAAATAAATACTATGATTTTCACTTTTATATTGTGACAACTGGATTTTATTGGTTTTGAATCTTTTGGTTAAGAAAGTAATACATTATTTCCATGCATAGCATATTTAAAGGTTGTTGTATGTGAAATAATCAACTGTTATATACAAATATATATCACTAGAAAATAATTTTGAGAAAATGACTAGAATAGACCTAAAAATGTTTTTATCACAAATATAGACTTTAACAATTAAAATGACCAAAATAACACTTAAATGTTTTATTAAATATACATTTATACCCCTTGAGTTAATTAATCCTAAACTTTTTGTTTAGAGTTCAGGAGTGAGGTTTTGGAGATAGGGTTCCGAATTTAAAAAAATTAAAAAAAAAACTTAAAATTTTCAAAATAAAAAGTGCTATTTTGGTCATTTTGATTTTTGAGGTCTATTTTTGTGATAAAAACTTAAAAGAGAGCTATTTGAGAGAATTGCCAAATAATTTTTCGGAAAATGAAAGAAACGATTGAAAAAATAAATAAGAAAGGAGGAAAAAGAATAAATGCAGAATGCAAATTGTTTTGTAGATGGTAACCAACAAAAAGAGTGAATTTTTTTTTAAAGTAATTTGGGCACTACAAATTAAAAACATTTCAATGTAATTAAGTTTTTTTCTTCATATGCTTTAGAATCCATACCTCTCTCCCCTCATATCTCTAACCTGCACACACACAAATAATTGGTTTTCTTTATTTTTCAAAAAAGAAACTATAGTTCACACTAACACTTCTCCATGTATCTATAACTATAATTTATAACTATTTGACCAAAACAACACATATCTACTCTATTAAAATAGAGTCATTCTTTTTATCAACTAATACAAGTTGTCATTTAAATTTAGATCCATTCTAGAGTGTTACAAATAATTCAAATTATATAGTTGATTGAACCGCGTTACTTAAATTAAACCGGCGGTTATTTATGGAATAGAGTTTTGGGCTTGCTTTTGTTTTTATGACATTTAATTGTTTGGTTTTTGGGCTTAGTATTAAAGAAAAACTCCAAAAAACATTAAATAAACTTTCCACCTTAATGGATCAAAAATCAATTACTATTTTCAGGCCCAAAAAGATTTAATATTTTCAACAAAACAAAATTATCTATTATTAATCACTTATTTAAATTATGTACTTTTAAACATGTTAATATTTTTTTAGCCCAAAAATATTTAATATTTTTAACAAAACAAAATTATCTCTTATTAATCACTTATTTAAATCATGTACTTTAAAACATGTTAATTTTTTTTATTTTAAATAACAATCACTCTATCTTGATAAATTTTAATGGTAACTTTTAAATAATTTATTGTTTTATTTTTCTTAAATAATTTACGGATTTAAAAAAAAAAATGTAAAGCAAAACCAAAAACCAAATCTAAAAACTAAAATCCAAAACCAAAAGCTGAAAACGCAGGTTATATTTTTTGCTTTTTTATTTAGAAAATAAACTATTTCAAAAATTTTAGAAAATTATTTTGTCATCTTTTCAGTTTTAAATTACATGTTCGATTAATTGAGATTTATTTGTTTGTAATATCAGTTCAAACTAACTCAGCGGGTCTGAAAATTAAAAACCACCAAAAGCTGAAAATCATAAATAGAAACTTAAAAACTAAAAACCAAAAACCAAAACCAAAATTTAAAACAAAATCTAAAAATAAAAACTGAAACTAAAAACTAATGAAAAACAACTATCACCACAAATTTTGGTAAACTAATTTATACCAAAACATTCTTTAAATTAAGACAAAACCCAATTATATAAATTTTTAATCATAAAAAATTTCCGCGCTTTCAAGCGCGGGTCAAAATCTAGTACGAACTTATAGTCAAGGAGAAGCATGTCTTTTATTATTCCAAATTTGTTTAGCATATGATCTCACGCCATCTTCATATAAATTCATGTTGATGTGTTTTGGTTAACTTATTCATCATTCTCATCAACTGAATGATTCTTCACATTCAGATGCATATGTGTAATGTCCCTTCCCATTTCTTATTTTTAAAGTTAATATCTTTAATTTTGTTCCAACAAATAAAATTATGGAATCTCATTGTTACAAATGTAATATTTATTTGCGTCGAAATATCATATTTTGAAAATTCATTGATATCTTCCATTTTTCTTTCCAAACACCAAACTTATGTTCAGTAACTGAACGCAAGCATGATATCTACTAAACATTTCTTTACATTATTTAGGGTCACTATAGAAATGACTGGAAACGATGACAAGTACTTTTACTATTTATTTCTGATATTGTTCTAAATAACCACACGTATTTGCGGAAAGTATTCTAATATACCCCAGTTGGAAAATAACTATTCTCACTACCCCACCATTTTTCTCATTGCCCCACTTTTTTTTTTGTTCGTAGTAGTTTCTAGTAATTCAAGATAGTTTGTTTTTTGTTCATAGTAGTTTCTAGTAATTCAAGGTAGTTTCTAGTAATTCAAAGTAATTCAAGGTAGTTTCTAGTAATTCATATTACATATAATACTAATTCATTAAGGGTTATTGATTTTTTAATCACATTTTGATTTTGAGAAAGAAAAAAAAAATCAAATTTATAATGGGTTAAAATAAAATGAAGATGAGAATGAGTGGGGCAATATAGAATAAAGTCTCGTATTTGCATAACTAAAATCTGCAAGATAATTTTTCTCGTTACGAAAATAAGGAAACATTGGATAATCTCGCATAATAGTTTCTAGAAACATTGGATAATCTAGCATAATAGTTTCTAGAGTTCGAATCATGCGTAGATCTCGCCATCCCAATGAAACAATATGTAAATAACATGTCATAATCAAAATTTTCAAAACATTAAAGTTTGTTGTTTCTTTGCGATTTACAAAATATAATGCATTTGAACCTGTAGTCACCATTAATGGTATATGTGTTCCATCTCAATTTTTTTTTACGGTACATATAACATTCTCTTTGAAGTTATAATAAAAAAGGTGTGTACCTTATGTTTGAAAAAAAAATGTGTACCTCTAATTGTAGAATTGTTGCTTGATTAGGTTAGGTGGATAGAATAGTTTCTCAAATGCATAACAGAAGTAGACAAGGAAGACTCAGAAAAATGTTAATTTTCTAATTCATATTAATAAATATTTACCAAATTTTATTATTTTCCATTTTTTCTTGTGAATATTTTTTTTCTGTAGTTCATATGCAAAGAGGAATAAAGAGGAATTGAATGTGTTCCATATACTATTTCACTATTTATATCGACGACTAAATAACTATAACACAGTTGTTAAAACGTAAGTGACTTCATGGCCCAATGGATAAGGCGCTGGTCTACGAAACCAGAGATTCTGGGTTCGATCCCCAGTGAAGTCGAAGATTTTTTATCTCTTTCCTTCGTTTTCATGGCTGATGCATAAAGGCCTTTCATTTTGCTAAAGAGAATCTATGAAAAAGCAAAACTTTTCTCTACTAATTATGAATAAGCATTGCTAATACATTTCGTCAGCTTACATAGATTGATATAACAAAGTATGGTAATTGATATATCACCAGCGTTGTGTGACTGCACACTTGCACTTGTTGAAAACATAACAGTGCATGCATGGTAAAAACCCCCCCAAAAAAGGCAAAACAAGTATACATATATATTCTTCTCATCACTTATTATATCCTTGTTGCATTTGGACTTAAACCCATATGGCTCCAGCTCTTTTTAGCAATGCGGCTAGTTGGTTCTTGACTTGGAGAGTCATTACCTGGTTAGCCCCACCAATTAACTGTTCTCCTATGAACACAGCTGGTACACTCGGCTTACACCCCATCTGTTTCAATGCTTTCTCCATCTCCTGACCGTTTGACAACTGGTCTAGCTCGTAGACCGTCATCTTTGCCCCAAATCCTGAGATGAGCGTTTGAATTGAATGGCTCATGCAGCAAGTGCTTTTGCTGAAAATCACCACTGGTTTGTCAGCTACTAAACTTCTAATGCTTTCCATTGACGTCAGTGTAAGAGGGAACTCAACTCAAAGGTCTATATGGTTGTTTTTGATTTGATGTTATATGATGAAGAAAGTAAGCCTATTTATAGAGTT